TCATACATTCAAAACAGCTCAGGTTTTTCAGAATTTGAATGTCATAAACAAATACTATTACCACTATTAACAGGTGTGTGTTGTGTATACTTTGTGCCTCAGAATCCTCCTCCAATCCTGGTGCCAGTCAATTAAGCTCTTTTCTTACAATGTTTTCAGATATATGGAATAAAAAGCATAAGATGGGGCGGTGGTGGCACATGCCTTTAATCCCAGCACTCGGGAGGCAAAGACAGATGGATCGCTGTGAGTTCGAGGCCAGTTTGGTCTACAAGAGCTAGTTCCAGGACAGGTTCCAAGGCCACAAAGAAACCCTGCCTCAAAAAACAACAACAACAAAACAAAACACCTATGAGTGAGTGCATATGATAATTGTCTTTCCATGTCTGGGTTACCTCACTCAAAATAATGTTTTCTAGCTCCATCCATTTTCCTGCAAAATTCAAGATGTCATTATTTTTTTCTGCTGTGTAGTATTCCATTGTGTAAATGTACCACATTCTTCTTATCCATTCTTCGATCAAGGGGCATTTAGGTTGTTTCCAGGTTCTGGCTATGACAAACAAAGCTGCCATGAACATAGTTGAGCACATATCCTTGTGGCATGATTGAGCATCCTTTAGACATATACCCAAAAGTGGTATTACTGGGTCTTGAGGAAGGTTGTTTCTTAATTTTCTGAGAAATCGCCACACTGACATCCAAAGGGGCTGTACCAGCTTGCATTCCCACCAGCAATGCAGAAGGGTTCCTCTTTTCCCCACAACCTCTCCAGCATAAGTTGTCATCAGTGTTTTTGATCTTGGCCATTCTTACAGGTGTAAAATGGAATCTTAGAGCTGTTTTGATTTGCATTTCTCTGGTGATAAGAATGTTGAACATTTCCTTAAGTGTCTTTCAAGCCATTTTAGATTCCTCTGTTGAGAGTTCTCTGTTTAGGTCTGTACAACATTTTTTTTATTGTATTATGTGTTCTTTTGGTGTCCAATTTCTTGAGTTCTTTGTATATTTTGGAGATCAGACCTCTGTCTGATGTGGGGTTAGTGGAGATCTTTTCCTATTCTGTAGGCTGTCATTTTGTCTTCTTGTGTTCTTTGCTTTACAGAAGCTTTTCAGTTTCAGGAGGTCCCATTTATTAATTGTTTCTCTCAGTGTCTGTGCTGCCGGGGTTCCATTTAGGAAGTGGTTCCCTGTGCCAATAAGTTCAAGTGTACTTCCCACTTTCTCTTGTATAAGGTTCAGTGTGGCTGGCTTTATGTTGAGGTCATTGATCCATTTGGACTTGAGTTTTGTGCATGATGATAGATATGGGTCTATTTTCATTTTTCTACATGTTGATATCCAGTTATGCCAGCACCACTTGTTAAATATCCTTTCTTTTTTCCATTTGATATTTTTTTGTTTCTTTATCAAAGATCAGGTGTTCGAAGATGTGTGGATTGATATCCGGGTCTTCTATTCGGTTCTCCTGTCTGTTCTTATGCCAGCTATCAAATACTTAAACATATGGTAGGTACATGCTTTAACATTACTCTATTAAGTAATAGGACCTGGGTCAGGTCTAGTAAGAAAAAAAAAATTCAAGATCCGCTTTATTCTTAGCTATGCGAGACTATGTGTGTGTCCATGCCTGGTCCATGCATGCGAATGCAGATGCCCGGAAACGCCAGAGGCATCAGATCTTCCAGGAGCTGTAGTTACAGGTGGTTAAGAGTTGTCTGACAACAGCTTGGAATGGATTTGGATCCTCTGTAATAGCAGCGCATGTTCTTAACCACTGAGTCATCTCTCTAGCCTCAAGCACAGTAATTTTAAAGCAGTGATGAACGTAAATGGTAATTCTTGAAATGTACGCAAAAACTGTAACGTGTGTAATGTTAGCTAAGAAAGCAGCCCTATTTCTGCTGGCAGAAACGTCATAGGTGCTGCGGATTGGCATGGCTTATCATCTTCATTCATTTTTATATTTTAAAGTATTTTATTTTATTAACAATTTTATTACATTTACTTGTTGTGTGTTTGTGTGGGGGCACTTGTGCCAGTGTGTGTGTGTTAATAAGATTCAATTCTATTCTTTCCTTCTACCATGTGGAACCTGAGACTCAAACTCAGATCCCCCTGCTTGGAGGCAAGACTTTTATCTTCTAAGACATCTCACTGCCTCTATCTTCACATATTTGTTTGTTTGGCTGTTTATTTTTATTTATTTTTTATTTTGTGCTTGAGTGTTCTGTCTCCCCATGTATGTTTGTGGACCACACAGAGACCAGAAGAGGACATTAGAACCCCTGGTACTGGACTTACATGTAGTGGTGAGCTGCTATGTGGGTTCTGGGATTTGAACCCAGGTCCTCTACAAGAGCATCACGCTCTTTGAACTGCGGAGCCATCTCTCCAGCCCCACTGTTTTCATTTATACAGAAAGACTAAATTTTAGCTTGAGTTGGGAGAAAACAGTTATGTCATTTTTGTGGCTCATGCAAACTCATGCACCCTTCAACTGAGAACGTAGCTTAGTAATGGAGTCTTTGCTTAGAATGTGCAAGGCCCTGGGTCTGACGGCCAGTGCTAAGAAGACAAGTCCCTATCCCCTTTGAATTGGGTCATGGGCTTCTAGATTAAGCTCTTCTGATCTAAGTTTTAAAAATGGCACAACAAATAAAAGGCTCTGGTCATGCCGACCGGAGACCCAAGTTCCAGTCCAGAACGCACATAAGGTGAGAGGAGAGAATCAACTCCACAAAGCTGTCCTCTGGCTTCCAGGTGAACGGTGGCACTTGTGCCCGTACATACATCATGCACACATAATATTTTATAAAAGAGGGAGCGACTGTATTGATCACTCATTGGTTAAAAGCACTTACTGCTTTTCTAATTGCAACTGGGGGTGCTGTGAGCTTCCATGAAGGTGATGGGAATTGAACCCAGGCCTTCAACCCGTGCTCTTAACTGATGAATCACTTCTCCAGTCCTCATAACACAATATTTTTAAAGGGCCATTAACATATTTCTGTTGAGCTGGCTAGATGGTTCAGGGGCTAGAGGAACCAGCTGCTAATGATGACCTGAGTTCTATACCCAGAACCCACATGACGAAAGGAGAGAACTGGCTCCTGCGAGCTGTCTTCTGACGGCCAACATGTGCAGCACACATAATAAATAAACTGAAAATTTGTTATTAAGGTATAACATAGGTATGGTAAAGTGCATTACATAAGGTGTACGGTTTGATTTGCTTAAAATTCACATCATCCTCATCATACAAGATCTAAAAATCAAAATAGAAGATTCCTAGCATCTCAGGGTGCCTTCGTGCCTCTTTTCTATCTATTTCTCTCAGCCCACCCTGGACGTCCAGTTAAATAACACTGCCTCCATCTCTAACCTATTGTTGGAAATCTTTTTTTTTTAATATTAGCTTTTTTTTTTAAGATTTTATTTATTTATTAGTATACAGTGTTTTGTCTGTATGCTTGCTAGCCAGAAGAGGGCACCAGATCTTATTACAGATGGCTGTGAGCCACCATGTGGTTGCTGGGAATTGAACTCAGGACCTCTGGAAGAGCAGTCAGTGCTCTTAACCTCTGAGCCATCTTTCCAGCCCCTATGGTTGGAAATCTTGTGCCTTGCTTCTTTTGCAGGACACACTTCTGTTGTATTAAGATCCGAGAGAGGATTAATACCGTGTTTGGCAAGAATGTGGGAAAACAGGTATTTTCTAAGTTGCTGGTTGAAATGCAACTAGAGGAAGCCTTTCACAAAGTAGTTTAAAATTCAGAACCTGGGTGTGGCGGCAAATGCCTCGGCTGCCAGCACCGCCGAGGCAGAGACAGGCAAAGCTCTGAATTTGTGGCGAGCTTGGTCTACAGAGCTAGTTCCAGGATAGCCAGGGGTACACAGAGAAACCTTGTGCTGAAAAAACAAACAAACAAACAAAAACAAAACAAAACAAAACAAAAACCCAGAAAGTTAGAAGCAGACTCTCAGGAGTCAGAGTCAGGTAGCTTATCGTGAGTTCAAGGCTGGCCAGTCTGCGCAGTCTACACGTCCAGTTTCAGGCCAGCCAGGGCTATACAGAGAGACTGTTTTAAAAAGGAAAAGGCTTGAATGCAAAGGCTTTTCTAGGGTAAGTAGGTGCAGACTGTGGAAGGGCTTCAGATACAATTTCTGGAGTTTATCTCCTAGGTAATAGCTGTAAGTTTTTGCATGTAATTTGTGTAATTCTGTGGGTACAGTGCTACTTCACAGCAGAGTACACTAAGGACTTTTTTGAACAGAGGAACAGCGTGAAAAAGGGTTTTTGTTTTTTCAGATTGTGTATACATTCAAAACTACCTCAAAGAAATAAGATGACTGAAAGAGTATAGCGAGGTCGGGTACGGAACCCTGATTTTGGCATCAACCAAAGTTTGCCTCCTTCTCTGGGACTAAGTGAGAAGTCAGAAGCTGGAATCTACAAATGGTCATGGGCACCGACCCAATAAACAGCGCACGGCTTTCTAAACACCGAAGCTTCTGGAGCGGACTCCTTCCCGCTCGCCTCTAGCTTCATCTTCGGCCTCCAAAGCTCCCTTAGGCCGAGTGCTGGTGATGCTGTGGCCACTTCAACACCCCTCATCTTCGTGGCCTCCTCATCTTGCGTATAAGCATCCGTCCGTGAGCCTTTTCCATCCTTTCATCGCCAGCCAGTGATTTGATTATTTTTTCCTCCTTTCCACGGGGACAGAAAACCAAATGTGGGTTTTAACAATTCTCTGGGGGTCGCGATCCTCGGGGGACTGGGGCGAGCGGGGGTGGGGGGTGGAGGTGGGGATGGGGGTGGGGAGGGAAGGCGTCTCCCTTCCCCTCCCCCACCCGGCTTCGCGTCCGTTGGGGGCCGAACTACCAATCCCGGCGTGCCTCGGGGGCGGCACGGGCGCAGGCTTGCGTGCGCGGCGGGCAGCCGTTGGCTGAGGCGGCGGCGGCGAGGGTCGCGGCGCTGTGAGGTCAGGCGGCTCTGGCAAATCGCGCCCAGGATGTAGAGCTGGCTGTTCCCGACGGCGCTCCTGACGCGAAGTTGGGTGGGGTAGAGAGTAGGGGGCGGTAGTCGGGGGTGGTGGGAGAAGGAGGAGGCGGCGAATCACTTATAAATGGCGCCCAAACAGGACCCGAAGCCCAAATTCCAGGAGGGTGAGTGTGCCGCTTTCGGTCGAGGAAGCTAACGGCGCCGGGGAGGGAGGCTGAGTCGGGGCGGCTGAGGTTTGGGGGGTCGGGGGCGGCGGGGCTGGCGGCCTGGGACCACTGCGGGCTGTGCTTTGTGAAGGGAAGGCGCACTGCGCAGGGCGGACTCGGCGCGCCGGGCGGCGGCCGGGTTTCGTGGCACAGCCAGGGCCGCGGGAGCCCCGTGCGCGGGGCCAGACCTCGGCGCTTGTTTTGTTTGTCTCTGAGCGGGGAAGGCTATTGTGGGGAGGCGGCCGGCGGGCGAGCCATGGCGACGGTTAGGAAGTGATGTGGCGTGGGGGAGGGGAGCAGCGGCAGCCCGTGTTGTTGTCGTTCCCCACCCCCCTCCGCCCCGGGCTGCCGCGCTGCCCCGCGCCGATTTCACCACCGTGGGCTGGAGGAGGGCGAGCTGCTTGACCTCCCCCCATCCCGGGGCTCTCTCGGCTATTTCGGGGAGCCCTGCCGCCGGAGGACGGGGAGTGGGCTTTGCGCCCCGCGGCGGGAGAAGTGCGTTTGTAAGATGGCCGCGCCAAGATGGCCGCGCCATCATGGCTGCCGGCGTCTCGCAGCGTCTCGGTGCGGCTTCGGGCAGTGCAGCGCCCCCTGGCACCGAGGCCTCGCGCCGGCCGAGGCCTGCGTTTGCCTCCGAGTGATGGGTGGGGACGGAAAAACCGTGAGCCGCCCGAGCGGGTGGCTAGGCTTGCTGTGCCCTGAAGGCATCGTTTTGCTGTGTCTGCAGCGGAGCGCCGGAGTCCTGGGTGCTCTCCTACGCAGTTGCTCGGGAAAACAATTTCCGTTCCCCCGCAGGGAGTGTCCGGCTAGAGGTCCTTGGCCTCGTCGTCGTCTTTAAACCCAGAAGTTGCTTGACTGGTTGCGGTAGTAGTCTGTTAATGGCGATTTGAAAGCTAATGTTTATTAATTGGCTTTGATCGAGAACAGTGTTGCAGTTTAACGGTCCTTTCAGGGGGAAGCGGTTACTCAGTTCTCGTAACGCAATTACCGAGGTGTTTAATAGCGCACTAAAGGAAGTAAAACTGTGAGCATAAAGAGGAACGTTTTAAACCTTTTATTGTCATGGCCGTTTGTGCTTGTTGCGTACATTCCCAGCCCAGACGCCTGCGTAACTGTTTTAGGGTTGTTTAACCATTAAGGTGCTAGACGTTAAAAAGACAAAACAACTTAACGGTATTCCAAGGGTTTTTGATGAGGACTCTTAGTACGTTGCTCCCGCTTTGAGAAATTGTGGCCCTTCGTTGTTTTCTAGAAAGTTTTTTTGTTTTTGTTTTTGAGGCAAGTCTTTGTATGCACCCCTGGCTGTTATATTGATCCTCCTGTTTCGGTCTTCAGTGTGCCTCAGCTAAATCTTGTTTACCGTATCTTGTAAGTTCCCTTTAATGTTATCTAGAATTCGATACCTAAAGTAGTTTGAGGGCTGGAGACGTAGCTTTGTCGCCCGGTGCTTCCTGAGGCAAACACGAGGTTTTTGCATTTTTAAAAAGAACGCTGGAGGCAGAGGCAGTCAAGTCAGATCTCCGAGTTCAAGGTTTTCCTTGTCTACTTAGAGAGTTTCAAGACAGCCAGGGCTAAAGGAGAAGTTGATAAAGTAAGGAGATGAATAAAGGCAAACCAGAAAGAGGTGTTGGTGTAATTGGAGAAGAATAGGAACAACAAAGGCTTGGGTTATGAAAGCTTTGTAAATCCCTGCCTTTACCATTACATTTCAGCTGCGGTTTCCAGGTGTAACTGGTTGTGACACACACCTAAAATTCCAGCGTTAGAGAGTAGGATGACACTGTCCAGAAAAAAAATACAAGCTAAACTATATAACCATCTTGTTAAAATTATGTATAAAAGACTATATAAGATGTTCTGTCCCCACCTTGACTGTTACTTTTGGTTTTCCGAGACGGTTTCTCTGTAGTTGTGGAACCTTCCCTAGAACTCCCTCTGTCTTGAACTCACAGAGATCTGCCTGCCTCTGCCTGAACAAGTGCTGGGATTAAAGGGGTGTTTTACCACCGCCCAGCTCCCATCTTGATCCTGATTCCAGGGGCTCACATGATGGTGATAGAGAACTGCCTCCCACAAGTTGTCTTGTGACCTCCACATGTACAGTGTCTTGTGTGCATATAACTATTCCCCTCCCCACAATAAGTAATAAAAATTCAGAGAACATCTTGGAAAGAAAATATTTAGTGTTGATATTTTGAAATCTTAATAAAATTGTGATAGTGAAAGGTGGTGACTACATTGTGTGTGTATGTGCACGCGCGCACGGGTGTGCAATGTTTTATGTATGAGTGTCTTGCATGCATGCACTATGTATGGGCCTGGTACCCTCAAGAAGCCAGAAGGCCTTGGATTCTCAGAACTGGAGTTGTGAACCGCTGTGTGTGGGTGCTGGGAATGGAACTATTTCTGTCTCATGGAGGGCCATTTAACTACAAGCTAGTAAGAAGACAGCCTCTGGGCAGGATCATTGTAGTTTGAGGCTAGAGTGGATTTAAGGATGGAGAACTGTGTAGTTAGAATTTGTCGGTTATTGAATTTTTCTGTTCACTAATTAGCCTAATTTACACTAGCTAAATGCATTTATTTTTTGAGTCAGAGTCTTTAGTGCAGTTTTTCAGCTATATATTTATATTTACATAAATATATGCATATATTTGGATTCATAGAGCCATAGTATAGTTTTTAGCTGAAGCAGCCAATTTTTAAAAAGGTATATTATATCAGAGTAGCTTAAAGGGTACTTGGAATGAAATTAGTAATCACAGATCTGATCTTACTGCTTCTGTTTAAGAGCAGAATGTTTTACCCCCCTGGACTGTTAGATCAATTTTCCATCTTTATTCAAGGCTGGCCATAGGTCTAGTAATGCTTTTAACAGTTAAGTAGTAGGAGTTTTTAGGGGTACCTTGATGTTAAGGGTTGCTGGATCTTACTTTGGAAGTCTAACAATGGAGGTCTCTGAAGTTCAGAAGTAATAATAATTTCAAAAAGCACTCCAGAGATAAACATGTATGTAGCTCGGTTGGGAAAGTGCTTATAGCATGCACAAAGCCTTGGGCTCATTAGATATGATAGTAAACATGGAATCCCAGGAGGTGGACAGATCAGCACTGTTTCCCTTCTACTTGTTGTACATGTTCATTCTACCATGGGTATCGAACTGTGTATATATTACTACACTTTTGCATGCTTGTTTCTGCTGTCTGGATCCTCCTTTCTCTGTGAACCCTCCCAAGAAGCTGGCTCTCTTAGCTGCTTAAGAAAAGTACAATATAAGTACAGAAAAAGATAAAAAACATTTACTTAACCTATGTGTCCCTTATTAGTATGAAATGCTTGGCACACAGCAAATACGCCACATTTAAGAGAGAGAAAGGGTCTCACCATATAGATTTGACTGGCCTATGTAGATGTATTGGCCTTGAACTTAAGAGTACTGGGATTAAAGGTGTGTACCACCATGCCAGGCTTATAATTTATGTATATATATACTATATGTACACATACATATATATTTAAGAAAAGATCTCATTACAGATGTTGTGAGTGACCATGTGGTTGCTGGGAATTGAATTCAGGACCTTCAGAAGAGTAGGCAGTGCTTTTTAACCTCTGAGCCATCTCTTCCAGTCCGTATACATACATACATACATATATATTTAAAAACATTTTTTTCCAGCATAGGACTTTTAAGATACAATTTTATAAACACATAACTGACCCTGTTGAATACGTCAGTCACCTTGGAATGTGTTGAAAGCAAGTGGACTGAAAATAATGTGTGTGATAAACTTCCACTATCATTATGTGAAGTCAAGAGTCCAGAAATCACCACCCAATTTGTTTGATAAGCACAGATGTCTTCAAGTCTTACTCTACCCAGATTTTATTTGGTTTTGCAAGTGCCAATGGTAGAGTCAACATTGGGAGTAAATTCCCAGGGCTAGGATTGTTCTGTTCTGTTTTTTTTTTTTTTTTTGTTGTTCATTGAAATAGCCTAGCTTCCAGAATACTAAGGAATGAACTAACATAGGTAGGATAACTTAGAAAAAATTCATCTTATGTATTTGGTCAGGAGTTTTAATGTGTAATACTCAGTAAAAAAGAAGCAGAAATCAGTCAAGTGACTAAACTTAAAGAAAACATTTTAAAAATTCTATTCCCAAGTAGTGGTGCACACCTTTAATCCCAGCATTTGGGAGGCAGAGGTAGGCAGATCTCTGTGAGTTCAAGGCCAGCCTGGTCTACAAGAGCTAGTTCGAGGACATGCTCCAAAGCTACAAAGAAACCCTGTCTCAAAAACCCCAAATAAATAAATAATTCTATTTCCAGATTAGAACAGGTGAACTAGCCAAACTTTATCCCATAGGTGATTTGATAATTTTAATAGAAATTTAAGTTTGAACTTTGTTGACCCTGGATACTAAAGATATGGTAAAGTTTGTTCTGAAGCATTCATGGTTTTACCTGTTTTTCCTGATTATGCTGGGACTTTTATAATCAAGTGTAGTGGTTCTTGAAGTCACATCTTTCAGTATGGCAAATGACTCAAAATTAACCTGACCCCTTTCCTCCCCCCTCTTTCTACAGGCGAGCGAGTGCTGTGCTTTCATGGGCCCCTTCTCTATGAAGCAAAGGTATGGAACCTGCTTTCTTTTGAGAAGGTAGCCAAAATGTTAGGTAGATTCGACTTTATAATATCAAATTATATATAGTACTTTCTTGCTGGAGATGTAAAGATTTCATTTTTGCATAGGTTCATAAATCTTTCTCATTTTGAGTTTGTTACTGCTTGCTTGCTGGTGGATGGAGAAAGTTCCCTTTCTAAACTAACTCAGTAAAGACCTATTGGTTGGAAGTAGCATTAAAGTGAGTGATAGATGAAGGTTGTTTGGTTGTATGTAACAAATAGCATTTTATGGTTAATACCGCAGCGGGAAACAGCACCAGAGCTGCACGGTGTGTACTTGCAAGCATTTGCACGTCGATCTGTAAAACCTTGTGAGCATTGAGATCAGAGGACAACCTCGAGTGCCAGTCTCCTCTTGATGTCCCTGAGACAGTCTCTTCTATCTAACTTTAGATTTCCTGGAATTCTTTTCTTCTTCACCTTCCATCTCATTGTAGGAGCACCAGTATCATGGGTTCTGGGGTCATGAGTTGTCCTGCTTGCATGGAAAGCACTGTTATTCACTGAGCCTTTTACTCAGCTTTAACAATTGATATTTAACTTCCCTCTGTGTGTTTCTCTTTGTGTTTGCTGGTTATGAGACTAGAGTTCTTACTAGCTCAGGCTGGCTTTGAACTAACAGTAAGCCTCCTGCCTTACCCTTTTATGCTGAGGTCTCAAACAGATGTGACCCACCACCATTCTCTGGTTGTCATATACATTTAACTGCTATTAGTTAATTTGAATGGTAAAATTTGAACCCTGAGAGAACAAGGCTTTTTTCTTTTTCATTATGACTTTAAATTTAGATGCCTGGTGGTGCTACATTTTATCCTAGCAGTTGGTAGGCATAGGCAGGTAGATCTCTGAGTTTGAGGCCAGCCTGGTCTGTAGAGCAAGTTCCAGAACAGCCATGGCTATATGCAGAAACTCACAAAGAAACTCACAAAGAAAACCAAAAGAAAGAAGGAAAAAACTAGTCAGCGATAACAGCAGAATACATTTATTTTTATTTTGATTAAAAATATTTTACAGTGGGGGGCTGGAGAGATGGCTCAGTGGTTAAGAGCACTGACTGCTCTTCCAGAGGACCCAGGTTCAATTCCCAGCACCCACATGGCAGCTCACAACTGTCTGAAGATCCAGTTGCAGGGGATCTGACTCCTTCACACCAATGCACATAAAGTTAAATAAACTGTAAAAATATTAAAAAAAATATTTACAGTGCTCACAATTTAACACAGCATACATATGTTTGGAAGAGAGCTACCACTGCAGTTACATCCCCATGCCTGGACAGTCTACTTTATAGTCTAAAATTACTTTTATTTTATTTCTTTCTTTTTTTTAGATTTATTTATTATACAGTATTCTGCTAGCATGTATGCCTGCATGCCAGAAGAGGGCACCAGATCTCACTACAGATGGTTATGAGCCACCATGTGGTTGCTGGGAATTGAACTCAGGACCTTTGGAAGAGCAGGCAGTGCTCTTAACCTCTGAGCCATTTTTCCAGCCCCCTTTTATTTTATTTCTAATGACTTTTGGCAGAATTGAGTTTGGGATATCATTCTGGTGCTCATCCCAGGGATTTAAATACTTTAGCTATGTTCCCTATCACTGAGATATATCCAGCCCAGCATAGAAAATTAAAAGTTGTCCCATCCTCTTTAACACTGCTGGGGCTCAAAATGGGGGCCTTTTGTTTGCTAGAAAAGTGCTGTATCAGTAAACTACATCCCTAGCCCTTTACTTTTTGAGACAGGATCTTGCTGTAGAGCTCAGATTGTCCTTAGCTTCAGTCCATAGCTTGTCTAGTCTCCAAATTTATTCTGACTGCTTGAGGACTGGGATTACAGACACTTCTTCTTTTTGAAGATGTTTCTTTTGAGACAGATGCTGGGGTGGTCTTAAACTCAGAGATGGAACTGCCTCTACCTCCTCAGTGCTAGAACTAAAAATGTGCCTGGACAGGCATTTAAGAATTGAACACAAAGGCTAGTTACATGGTAGAATACTTGCCTACCATAATTAAAGCCCTGAACTCAATCTCAGTGCTACTCCCACCAAAAAAAAGAAACACCGTATACTGGGTGACACAGGCCTATGAACCAGGCAGGCTAGTTGGGAAATTAAGATAGAAGGATTACTTGGGATATGGAGTTAAGGGATGGCCCTAGTGAAACTGTCTCACAAAGTAGTAAACAAGGCAGGGGACAAAGCCCAGTAGAAGTACTTTCCATGAGTAAGATGCTGGTTTAAGTACCTAGTATAGAAAACCAACAAAAGTGCAGCAACACACACTCATACACACTATACACATGTATATAAAGCGTAATGATTAAAAGTGATTTCTGTGTAAATTTCTGTTAAGTTTATATTTGTACCAGCTAGTTCTGACTAAAAATGATGTTCACAGCTCATGTTTTGAATGTATAGCTGTTTGTAACTAAATCCTTTTGGTTTTCATCTTGTATGTTTTTCATTGTTGTATGAATTTTTGGCAAACATCTGAACTGTTTTTTCTCTAGCAGCAAAATATTCTGGTGAACAATTTCTTAAATAATGATTAGAGTAAATTATTGTTTGGTGGACCAGTGAAATCAAAAAAGTCAGATCAAAAACTCTTGTCATGGGAACTTTTCTCTAGTAGTTTGTTTTGTTTGGTTACTTTTAAGAATGCTCTTTAATTTTTTTTTTTTTTTTTTGTTTTTCAAGACGGTTTCTCTGTAGCTTTGGAGCCTGTCCTGGAACTAGCTCTTGTAGACCAGGCCGGCCCCGAACTCCCAGAGATCCGCCTGCCTCTGCCTCCTGAGTGCTGGGATTAAAGGCGTGCGCCACCACCGCCTGGCTAATTATGCTCTTAAACCTAATAAAAAAATCAGCATGCTGTCTTTTTTTTTTTTATAGATTGATGAGATTGTATTTTTGATATAAATGTAGTTCTTAGCTAGAGTTTAAGAAACTCTAAGAATAGCTTTCATTTCTTGACCTTGGGTAGCAGACCTAGATTGTTGATTTATAGTGACCTCTTTTCAGTGCTGTTTGTTAGTTTTGTGTTTATTTTTAAATTGAAGTTTTGTAACTATAGAAAAGGATTCTCAGCACTAGAGTTATAGAATCAAACTGACCAACAACTCTGTCCTTAAGTTTTCTAATTAAAGTTTTATAGTACTAAATAAAAAGCACATCTGTCTTTAGGATGCAAATTTGATAAGATTATGTGTATACCAAAGACTTTGTCTTTTTTATTTCAGTGTGTAAAGGTTGCCATAAAGGACAAACAAGTGAAATACTTTATCCATTACAGTGGTTGGAACAAAAAGTGAGTATTAGACCCTTAAAAGCATTTTGTCTACTGTTATAACATATATATCGAAGCAAGAGTGAGTCATCTTCAATATGATGAAACTATACTAGGGAGAACTCGACCAGATTATATGTACTTGATGTTTGGGAATTTTTCTTATATTATTTTGTAGTGCCCAGTGGTTACGCTTGACCAACTATTCTAGTTGAATTATGAGTGGTTGGTCAGCATACTTTTTTATGGCGTGTTTTAGGATGGCCTGAATATTTTTGGCCTGAGCACAGGCCAAATGACTTAATAGTTCTTATTCAAGCAGTTAAACTCAAAACTAGTTATAGAACAGGAGAAAGGAGGAAAAATATGAAATGACAGTTTATAAATCCATTTTGTGAAATTCTGAAACGTTAACTAAGTAGTTTCATGTGGCGTAGCATAGAAAACTCTAGAATTTAATTTTCTAGTAGTCATTGGAGCTTTCTCAGTAGTGTTTTCTTTGAGACCCAAACAACAGCACCAATAAATTATTTAAGCCTTTTTGTTGCCTGTAGTTGCATTGTTTATTATTTTTAATAGGGGAATTTGTTTCGTCTTTTTCGAGAAAGGATTTCTCTGTATAGCCTTGCCTTGACTTTTTAGTAGACTGGACTAGCCTCGAACTCCTGCCTCTGCTTCCTAAGTGCTGGGATTAAAGGTCTGTGCCATCACACCTGGCTTACCAGGGGAAGTTTTCAGTCATTTTTATTATTCTTTTGTACTTCAGGAATGTCATTTCAAAGGGTCAGCCATTTAGGAATTACTTTTTGGTACCTTTTAATGCTTAATGCTTTGTTTCACTTGACCCAGAGTCTGGTTCTTCTTTAAATGGGAACAGTGCTGTGATATGGGTACTTTAATGTAGAGGGAAGGTTTTCTTTTTCTTCTGTTAAGTTTGCTAACCCCATGATTTTGGTCTAACTTTATATAATTCTTTGAAATATCCAAAAGACTAGCCAGTTAATTTAGTTTGTTACAAACAGAAACAAATTTAGGTGAAAAATACGAAACTTGTAATTATTCCTTTAGTATAATTGTAGAAAGGTCACAATACAAAATACATGAAAGCATATTCTGATAACTGAATAAAGTATTTTTAATAATGATCAGTAGGTACTGTCAATATTTCAGAATTATCCCAGTCTTGTATTAAGAAATTGGAAACTAGGTGTGCTGGCGCATAGCTTTAATTTCAACACTCAGGCAGAAGTAGGGTGGTCACTTAACAGGCCAGCCAGAACTACGTAGTGATGAGAACTTGTCTCAAAATAATAAGAAGGAATAAATTTAAGTTGGTTGTGGTATCTAGAAAACAGTCTTTTATGTTTTAGGTTTCTACAGTATCCATGCTTAAAAGAAGAACTGAAAACTGAATTTTATCTTTAGTTTATGAGGTTTATATTTTACATGTTAATATTTTGCTAATGTCCAGATAAAATGTGTAATAGATGCTTTCCTACAGGAAGTAGTATGTCTTCTTTATGCATATTAGGGATGGGAAAGTTAAAAGTCCATATAGACTATGAAAGGAAAGCACATGACATTCATGGAGTGACCTACTTCCCCTTCCCTAGCATACTTTAACTTAGAATTTACTTCAGTAGCTGTGCATATGGCTTTTATGCTTCAGACTTCTTGTATATCAAGATATTTTGTGTAAAATCAGATATAGGTCAATATCTGTATGTTAGGTTGTTATTTTTGTAGATTGCCATAAATTATAAAAATCAAAGCCTCAGATTTTCTGGTTTTACTTTTTCAAGAAGTAGTTTTTTCTTTGTTGGATTGTACTTCATGGCAGAAATAAGTGATGGTTTTATTTAAATCTTGTCTTCTTGGGAAAATAGGGGAGTGGTGATAGTGTAGTAGACATTACAGGTTTTATTTTATTTGTTTTGTCTTTTTTTTTGAGACAGGGTTTTTCTGTAGCTTTGGAGTCTGTCCTGGAACTAGCTCATGTAGACCAGGCTAACCTTGAACTCAGAGATCTGCCTGCCTCTGCTCCCCGAATGCTGGAATTAAAGGCTTGTGCCACCACTGCCCACTGACATTACAGGTTTTTATGAGGAAAATTAAGGTATCATAGGTGTCTTACAGAGTTGACTTGCTAAACATGCCCATGTTAGCCTTTAGGAAGTATTTAAAAATGAGTTTTCATTTTCCTTTTCTGAAACTGGGTCATGTTTTGTAGTTTTGGCTATCCTGGAAGTTGCAGTAATCTTTTGGCCTCCTGAATGCTGAGATTACAGGCTTATGCCACCATGTGTAGCTGTAGAGAAACTTAAAACCATTTGAGAAGGGTGTTTTAAAATGCCTGTCAAGTATATTATGTGTGTATTCAGTTTTGCCTGTGGATTTGACTTTGGGGATTAGTCACAACTACTTTGAAAAATACTAAAAGTTACACGCTTGATGTATACTTAAAAATTCTAGCGGCTCTCAGTTATTAGTTTACTAGTAGAGATTCCTCAGAGCGAAGATGGTTGTCCATTTTGTTTTTCTCAGTTTCAGCAAGGATTTTCATCTCTTTGGTAATAAGCTGTTGGAGTGATTTGGTAATTGGTTATTCAGTGTGCTAATTTAGATGTGGTTTGTAGCTGAAGGGGAGGGAATTTCTGAGGTTTTAAAGCAGTTAAAGGCAACTTTAAGGAGTATAGGGATACGGATTTTTTTTAAGAGCTTTATGGATAGGGATGTAGTTTCAATGGTAGAGCTCTCTTGCCAGCATGCATGGAGCCCTCGCTCAGTCTCCAGTACCTCCCATTCCTCCCGACACACCCCAAAGAAAAGGCAATCTGTAGGATACTTATTTAGAGACAAGGTTTTTCTTACTATGTATCCCTGGCTAGTCTGGAGCTTGGTATGTAGACCATGCAGGCCTGGAACTCAGATCTACCTGCACCTTAAGAGTGCTGGGATTAAAGGTGTGCACCACTATGCCCTACTGTAGGACACCTTCTAAAACATTGGTACAACAAAATTCCAATTTCAAACTGGATTTCTCTTAGATACTTGTTTAAATACACTTTCAAAAATCACAGTAGATACTAAGATATTTCTAAATTTTCAAAACTCTTATTGGAATTTGTTGACACAGACATTAGATTATTCCATTTGTAAGTGAATCTTGATAAAGCTTAAGCTAAATTCTGCACATAGTTACTGAGATTACTTTGTACTATGCTGTCTGTATCAGAAGTGCTGTGAGGCCCAGGCGCTCTGAAAAATCTTTGAAGACACGTGAGGATATTGTAGCCCTTTTTCCTGTTCCTGAAGGAGCTCCCTCAGTACACCACCCCCTCCTGACCTCTAGGTAAATGCATGTTTTAAAGTTTTCTTTAGGAAATCATGTTGAGGAATGTTTTTTATTTATTAATTTTCCTTTTGACTATACTCTATAAGAGGTCAGAGGTGGGAAATCATTAAATAAAAGATTGCCTCAAGAATACACCTGATTGTGTCACTAATGGAGCTCCATCAGCAGGAGAAAAGACTTAATTTTATTCAAAAGTTCAAAAAATTCAACATTCCACAATAAAGTTTTGTTTTCCCATATACATCAATAAAAGGCTTGTTTTGTGAGAAACCGGATACCTGAGATTTTAGAAAGCTTTTTTTTAATCACCTAGGAAATTGGAATGCTTACGTTTAGTAGATAAATGTGAACAGTGAGTTATCTGAAGGAAAAAAAAAACCATTGTAAGCCTTTAATGTACAAACTTAATCTAGTCACCTAGGTGGTAAGTATTGGTAGACTGTCGTGTACTCCTGGTGCACTTTTAGCATTTATGAGCTATGGAACTTAACACAGTACTGTAATTCTGAAAAGCTAATGGCTTAGTGACTTACTCTTTGACCATTAACACATGATTTGAATAATCCACATACATAGTTTATATTTGGAATGCTGCTTCTTACTAGAACACAATTTGCTTAGATTTTTCTTTTAGTTGGGAATAGATTTGCGTTGCCAGCTTAATCAGATTATTTCATAAAAAGCTGAGCATGGTTTGTGCATGCCTGTAGTTAGAGAATTTGGGATACTGAGGCAAGAGGATTACCATAAATTCAAGGCCAACTTGAAATTCATTTTTTAAAAAGTGAAAACAAAAAACCCTAGGGTTGACAAGATGATTCAGTGAGTAAAAAGTACTTGGCCTCCAAGGGTGAAGAACCAAGTTGTAGTTCTAGGACCTACACACTGAAAGAACTGACTCCTAAAAGTTCTTTTCTGACACCCTCACACACACATTCTATAACATATACTTGTACACCACATATACAAATAAATAGATGTTAAAAAATTAGAACACATTATTTCAAGGGAATTACAAAATTTTGCTGTTTAGATCTTTAAAAGTTAATTGGAAGAGAAACTATATTTAAAATGTATTTCAGTGTTTTTTTTAACTTGTCTTTTTCAGTTGGGATGAATGGGTTCCAGAAAGCAGAGTACTCAAATATGTGGACACCAATTTGCAAAAACAGCGAGAGCTTCAAAAGGCCAATCAGTAAGTTTGTTTTGGGAAATAAATTTTGATATTTTTAGACATGGAATGAGCAGAATTAGATCATGTTGACACCTTCCTCTACTTTTAGTAAAATGATTCTTGATACTTGTTAGTTCTGTGTTAAAGCTTGATTTCAAGTAACTACATATTTTCTGGGTAAAAGTAATATCCTGTCATTTCTGAGTCTGTCTTTAGAATTTAGTAGAAAAACAAAGTTTTATGCCTTTAATCCCAGCACTTGGGAAACAGTAGCAGGCAGGTCTCTTGTGAGTTTGAGACCAGCCTGATCTATAGAGTTCCAGGACAGACTTCAAAGCTACAGAGAAACCCTGTCTTTCAAAACAAAAAACCAAACAAAAACAAAAAAATTAATTCTGAAAAACAAAGTTTTGAAATTGTAGGTGCAAACTTTTAATATCTTGTTTAACATCTTCTTGGAGGCTATGGAAGGCATAATTCCATATGAAAATGAAAAGGAAGAGATATTCCCATTATATTTATTCTGAAAATAGGTTGTGGGAAAAGGACCCAGAAAAATTATCTATAAGGTAGTTATTACATTTGAATTTTACAACTAAAATATTTAAAAAATTAAAACTAATTACATGGAGTCAAATTAAAAGAAAACTTCGGGACTGTTAGTGAATTCCCCAACCAGGCACAACACTGGAATTTTCAATTTCGGAGACCATATGCTAATTTGTACTACATTGATTTTAATTTTAGTAACAAAATTTTTGTTTTGCCTCTTGTTATTTACGTGGGCATGGGTATGCCATGACGAGATTGTGGAGGTTGGGGTCAGTTCTTCTGTCATGTGGGGTCCAGGTACTGAACTCAAATCAGTGGGCTTGGTAACACCTACCTTTTATCTCTTGGGCTAGCCTTCTGGCTATGTTTAGTTTCTTCAATCTTTTGATTTCTGTAGACTTTGTAAGTGTTATTTTTGGTTTTATTTTTCTATAAGTGTTTTGCCTTTTATGTGTGTATGCATATTATATGTATAATATATATTACATATATATGTATCACATGTATGCTTGATGTGTGAGGAGGCCTGAAGAGGGAGTAAGATTTCCTGGAGTTATGGATGGTTGTGGGCCATCTTGCGGCTGCTGGGAATCAAACCCAGGTCTTCTGCAAGAGCAAGAAGTACTCCCCCTAAGCCATCTTTCCCAGACCTGATTTATGGTTGTGAGCAGCCACGTGGGTGCTGAGAATTGGACCCAGGTACTCTTTGATCTCTCCAGCCCCAATTTCAGGCTTTCTGTGTGTCTTACTCATTTTATTTTAGCTTTATAATAAAATGAATCTGTACAACATGGGTATTTTGGAACACTGTGGAGGTTCACTTATACTAATAGATAATTTATGTTGTTTTTTTTTTTTTAAGATTTATTTCTTTGTTTTATATATAGTTTTCTGCCTGCATGTATGCCTGCAGGCCAAAAGAGGGCACCAGCTCTCATTAGAGAGCTATGATCCACCATGTAGTTAGTTGCTGGGAATTGAACTCAGCACCTCTGGAAGAGCAGCCAGTTCTCTTAACAGCTGAGCTATCTCTCCAGCCCTCAGATAAGCTTTTTAAATTTTTCTGAGTCAGGGTCTCACTGTATAAGCCCTTGCTGGCCCCGACCTCACAAGGATCCACCTGCTTCTGTCTTTAGAGTGCTGGGATTAAAGATGTGTGCCATTATACGTCTGACTGGAAAATTCAGTTTAAATACAGATTATAGATGGAATCAAGTAGGCACAGTTTGCTGTTTCTCATTACTTTCTGACATTGCTTTTGAAGGGAACAATATGCTGAGGGCAAGATGAGAGGGGCTGCTCCAGGAAAGAAGACATCTGGTCTGCAGCAGAAAAATGTTGAAGTGTAAGATGTTCTTTGTTAATACTGCCTTATAAATGTAATTCAAATTTACAATTGATTATGATACATATTTTGTTTCTAATGGGTATCAGGTAGTAAAAGTAATTTAAAATGCACATTAGTTACTTGATTTTTCCCTAGCCTCCTCCCTTGCACTAAAATATGTGCAACATTAAAATAGATTGAGTGTGCACTTCAGCAACAATAATTGCTCTTTTAGCCCTCATGTTTGAAGTTACACGTGTATACACATACAGGTTAGAAAAGTAGTTTTGAATTGTCAGGGAGTCACATTTTGAGATAATTATTTTGGCAAGGGTTACTTTCAGTAGTGCTAAATATAAAATGAGAATAAGGGGGAAAAGTATAATTTGTAAACTCTGGATTGCAAGTCTTCTTGGCAGCTAGCCCATAGTTTTAAAGTCATTTACTCAGACTGTGTCTCTAAAAGGTTATGTACCTGAAGTGGCTGTAGAAATAATGACCTTATACGTGGTCTTAAAGATTATAACTATTATCTGAAGGGTAAGTAACCAAGGCCTTTGTTTGTTGTTGTTCTGTTTTAGTTTTTTCGAGATAATTTGTCTCTATCAGTCCTGATTGTCCTGGTGGAACATGCTTTGAGGACCAGACTGGCCTCAAACTCACTGAGATCATTTACCTCTGCTTCCCTAGTGCTAAGATTAAAAGTGTGTGCCACCACTGCCGGCTCATAACCAAGGCTTATTAAGAAGTAGAAAAACATTTCCTTATATCAGGAAGGAGACTTCTAAAAGGAATTGCTATTATAGTGCTCTGGACTAGAGATTTCATACATGTGTATAATATTTGATCTATCCACCCTCCTTTCCAAGAGGGCTCTTGTCATGTCCGTGTCCTTTTTAAAACTAATGAGTGTAGTTACTGCTAGCTTTATGTTCATGGGTGTAGGTAGGGCTGTTCACTGGAGCATGGGCCACCTACCATACATACCTTTAAAGAAAAATTACTTGCTTTTCCCCAGCACCCATAAACTGTCAGTAGCTCCTCATGAGTTCCACTTCTATCCATCTTAGAATGTTGGCTTATGCAAGTAACTCCAGCTAATGTTAGTTTGAGTGCAACAGGTTATGTTGTATCTAGAAGACAGCATGTCACAGAAGAAAACACTTTCCCTATCCTCCTGCTTTGTACTTATTCTTACACCCTCTTATGCTCTGTTCCCTGAAATCGAGTGGAGGAAGGTGGAACGATACAGATGTCCCAGTTATGGATGAGCATTCATAGTCATGTTCTGAGCACTTTGCTAAGTTACAAGTCTGCAGAAGGAGCTTCTCTGGCCAAGGTTGAGAGCAGCACTAATCTTTGAGTAGAATTATCTACAAGGTAGTTTGATAACAGCCATCTAGCAAAACAATAATAGACTTCTTTGTAGAACCTCTGGCTCCTGTAGACTCGCTTGCATGGGCTTTTGACCAGGTTTCCAAAACCAGGCATGAATTCCCTCCTATTGAACAGTCTTCAAATCCAATCATAAAATTATTTCTCTTAACAGTCATCACTGTTGTACTCCGGCACATTTTTGGAAACAATAGTGTTCATCCATGCAGGGTAGAACACTGTCTTTCAAATACGATTTTTGAGGCAGAGTCTTACTATATAGATCTGGCTGTACTGAAACTGGATATGTAGATTAGGCTGGCCTCAAATTCACAGAGATCTGCCTGCCTCTCTGCCTCCTGAGTGCTGGGATTGAAGGGGGATAGGTACACCAGCATGCCTAGCCCCTTTTTTTTAAGCATATATATATATATATATATAATTTATTTATTTTTTTTTGGTTTTTTGAGACAGGGTTTCTCTGTGGTTTTGGAGCCTGTCCTGGAACT